CTGTTCTCAGTATAAGTTTAGTATGTGGCTTCAACACTTGGCTGCAGCCTTCTGTGCCTTCAGTTCTAGTGCTTAATTGTTGTTGGGATTAAATAATATGATATGATTAAATAATATCTATGCAAAATGCTTAGAACGTGTCTGCTCAATATTGATACTCAACATATGCTACCTTTTCTTTTCATGTAGCTCTTTAGATAGTTATGTATCTAAATGAAAAAATAGCCAAACAAAAGGAAGAAAACCCAACATTCTCTTTGCTGTTGAAACTTATGATTCCATCAAAAAGACTCCAAATGTGATTGGATATGAATTTATACATAAAAAAGATTTAAAATACTGGCTTGGCAGATCCTTAGTGTTAGAAAGGATCATCAGTCATCTAGTTCAAGGTTTTCTCATATGCAGTTCATGAATCCTTAGAAAATGTAGGCAACACGGCAATTCTCTGGGTGCATGTACACTTGCACATATGTGTATTTCTGTTTCTTGTCAGAGAGTCTGAGGCTTTCATGACACCCTCACAGAGTCTGAGTCTCAGAAAGGCCAAGCCCTGCTGGTGGTGAGCACTATTCCATGAACAGAACCCCAGATTTGCTGCTCCTGACTTCTAGTGTGACTTTTATCAAATCCTTCTCTCTAAACCTCAGGACTGCTTTTTATTTCTCCTAGAATTGTTATAAAGCCCCAACAAAAGCACTTTTAAATCATAAAGTGTCCTCTAAATGTATAGCTGTGGCACTGAACTGTGAGAAAACTGCAGCTAGGCAGGGTGCTTGAGTGGTCTGCTTGAGAGCTGACAGCAGAGCCCTGACACCCCCATCTCTCAAGGCCCGCTCAGTGCACTGGCCCCTCAATAAGGGGCCACAGCTTTTTTTGAGAACAAAATGGCCCCATACCAAGACCATTCAGTGGAAAAAGCATAGCCTTTTCAACAAGTGGTGCTGGGGTAACCTGACATCCATGTGCAAACAACTAATTCAGACCTCTAACCCATAACATACATAAAAACTAGCCAAAACTGGATGGAAGACCGAAACATAAGAAACCTATAAAACTCTTAGAATAAAACATAGGAGTAAATCTTCATGTTCTTGAGTTCAGCAAAGCATTCTAAAATATTACACCAAAAGTACAAACAACAAACAAAAAATTAGATGAATTGGACTTTTCTATTTCATAGGACACCATTAAGAAAGTGAAAACTGTACACCTTAAATTTATACCATGTTATATGTTAGTTATATCTCAATAAAGCTGGGGGGGGGGAAGTAAAAAGACAACTCTCGTAACGGGAGAAAATTGCAAGCCATGTATCCGGTAAGAGATTTTTATCCAGAATATACAAAGAACTTTCATAACTCAATAATAAAAAGACAACCAATCTTAAAAATGGGTAAAACATCTGCATAGACATTTTTCCAGATAAGATATACCAATGGCCAATAAGCACATGAAAAGATGCTTAACATCATTAGTCATCAGGGAAATGCAAATCAAGACCACAATGAGAAATTTGTGTGGAACCATGATAACCAAAGGAAAATCTTGAGAAAGAACAAAACTGGAGGCATCATGCTTCTTGATTTCAGGCTGTATTATAAAGTTATAGCAATCAAAACAGTATGGTATCAGCATAAAAACAGACACATAGATCAGATGAACAGAATAGAGACCACTGAAATAAACCCATACATAGATGATTGATAATTTATGATTAAGGATTCAAGAATATACAATGGCAAAAGGACAGTCTCTCCAATAAATGGTATTGGGAAAACTGGACAGCCAGATGCAAAAGAATTAAACTGGACCACTTTCTTACACCAAACACAAAAACTTACTCAAAATAGATTAAAGACTTAAATGCAAGACCTGAAACCATAAAACTCCTAGAAGAAAACACAGGTGGTAACGTCCTTGACATTGGTGTTGGTGATGATTTTTTGGATCTCACACCAAAAGCAAAGGCAACAAGAGCAAATACAAACAAGCGGGACTACATTAAACTAAAAAGCTTCTGCACAGCGAAGGAAACCATCAACAAAATGGAAAGACAACCTACTCAGTGGGAGAAAATATTTGTAAATCACATATCTGGCAAGGGGCTAATATCCAAAATATATAAGAATTCATACAACTCAATAGCAAAACAAACAAACAAAAAACCCCCAAATCAATCTAATTTAAACATGGGTAAAAGATCTGAATAAACATTTTTCCAAAGAAGACATACACATGGCCAAGAGGTACACAAAAAGGTGCTCAACATCATTAACCATCAGGGAAATGCAAACCAAAACCACAATGAGATATCACCTCACACCTGTTAGAATAGCTATCATCAAAAAGTCAAGAGAGAGCAAGTGTTGGTGAGGATGTAGAAAACAGGGGACCCTTGTGCACAGTTGGTGCAAATACAGGAATGCACTGGTGCAGCTACTATGGAAAACAGTATGGAGTGTCCTCAAAAAATTAAAAATGGAACTGCCATAAGACCCAGCAATTCCTAAGGAAATGAGAACACTAACTGGAAAAGATAGCTGCATCCTCATGTTCATGGCAGCATTACTTATAGTAGCCAAGATACACGAGCAAGCTAAGGATCCATCGATGGCTGAAGGGATAAAGTAGATGTGGTATGAGTATATGTGTGTGTGTGTGTACCATTGTTTATATATATACACAATGGAATATTACTCAGTTATAGGGAAGAAAGAAGGTCTGCCATTTGCAGCAACATGTAAGAATCTTGAGGGCATTATAAGTGAAAAAGGTCAGACAGAGAAAGACAGCTATTGTATGATTTTACCTATATGTGGAATCTGAAAAAGGAATGGAGAAAACAAACATACTCATAGATACAGAGTTGCCAGAAACAAGGGAGTGGAGGTGGTGGACAGTAGGTGAAATGGGTGAAGGTAGTCAAAAGGTACAACTTGTAAAGTGATTGAGTCATGGACATGTATAGTATGGTGACTGTAGTTAATACTGTATTGTATTATTTGCAGGTTGCTAAGAGAGTAGATCTTGAAGTTATCAAAAAACTTTGTTAACTGTGTAGTGATGGATGTTGACTTATTGTGGTTATTCATGATATATAGATAAATATACATGATATATACATTCATGATATATACATAAATCATTACATATACTTGAAACAAAGATAATATTATATGTCAATTATACCTTAACAAGACAAAAGAAAACCCCAGTGATATACAGTTTCACACTCCCTTGGATGTCTAAAATTAAAAAGACCACAGTAAGTATTGGGTAGGGGTGGAACAGTTAGAATACTTATTTACTGCTGGTGAGAATGTGAAATGGTCCAGCCACTTTCAAAAAGAGTGTGGCAGTTCCTCAAAATGTTACATGTTGTATACAAATGGTACGTGTCCAAGAGAAATGAAAATATGAAATCAGTCACAAAAGGCCACATATTATGATTCCATAAATATGAAATGTCCAGAATAGGTCACTGCATAGATACAGGAAGTAGGTTGGTGGCTGAGGGGTTTGATGGGAAGATAGCAAGTGATTGCTAATGGGTACCGAGTTTCTTCTGGGGATGATGATCACATTGTGGAATTAGTTGGTGATGATGATTGCACAATGCTGTAAATATACTAAAAGCCAGTGAGTCGTAAACTTTAAAAGGGTGAATTTTATGGTATGTAGATTTTATTTGAAAAGAATAAAGTAACCCCAAATTGTGCTTTCTTGGCTTTGAAAGATAGGGCATGAAACATACTTCTATCCCATTTTATCTCACAACTGCCGTGAGTTTTACTGACAGGCTTAGATGACAAGGGTGTAGTGGTCTTGAGTCAGGTCCGTGGTCAGCTGTCACCTAAGTTCCCTAAATACCCTGTACGTAGACAAGGCTGCAGCTTGTGCAGCTGACACTCAGGACTAGCACCATGTAGGCCAGTAACCTCCTCACCCCAGAGCCGGGTTTTTCCAGGTAAGGATTGAGATCATTCACCAGGCAGCGGGGAAGCATCTCTGCATTGTGCCCAGCTGTATTTGGCCTGTAAATAAACCAGCAACAAAGATTTTCAGCCTTACTATTTTGGGACATTTTAATATTAGGTTAACTTGTTTATTATGTTTAGACGTAGTTTAAGAAAAAAACATATCAGTCACATTTATTTTTAAGGAATATGTTAAGAAACTGCAAAATACTGAATTATTCCTTAACACCCTCTTTTTGGAAATCATTCAGTTTTATACATTAGCATCTTACTATATTCAGTGTGTCTCATAATTAAACGATTATATATACATGTAATATAGTAAAAAGTAATTCTTGTATTTTAGTTAAAAATAGAAAATAAAACAATCTTTTAAAAAATCAACTGTGTCTAAAGCACATGTTCTCAAACTTCTCCGACAGTAAAAGTCAAATGAGACTCATTATAAATGTGGATTTTCTAGGCTTCCATCCCCAAGAGATTGGTTCAATCTGAATTTTTAGAAACCCCCCAGATGATTCTAAGGAGCAGGGTTTACACTTTGAGAAACACTGCCTTAGGGACTTCAGCCTAGAATTGTTCTTCATTGGAGCACCTTGGTGGCTCAGTTGGTTAAGCATCTGCATTGGGCTTAGGTCAAGATCCTGGAGTCCCAGGATGGGGCCCTGCATCAGGCTCCTTGCTCAGCGGAATTTGCTTCTCCCTCTGCCCCTCACCCCGCTTGTGTTCTCTCTTGCTCGCTCTCTCTCTCTCAAATAAATAAAACCTTTTTTTTAAAAAAAAAAAGAATTGTCTTCATTTTAACATAGGTAATTAATAGGTATTTCTTTAGATATTTTCAGCTATTTGATGTTAGAAATAGATGACATTTATACTCTTATTCTGCTATTAGAAGATAATATTTTGTCACAAGCATAACATTTCTAAGTATGTGAAATGTAAGATATGTTTGTTACCACTGTCAGCATCTTTGTTGCTGCTACCCATTAATGTGGTACTGTCTTCACCTGTTATTTGCAGATTTCTTTTGACCTGGCTGAATATACTGCAGATGTTGATGGAGTTGGCACTTTACGGCTTTTGGATGCAGTTAAAACCTGTGGCCTTATCAACTCTGTGAAGTTCTACCAAGCCTCAACAAGTGAACTCTATGGGAAAGTGCAAGAAATACCCCAGAAGGAGACTACTCCTTTTTATCCTCGGTCACCGTACGGTGAGAATGGGTACAACCTTGTGTATGCGCCATGTTCTCTTGGCCTGGGGCATTCATGTGCTTCTGCTTTAATTCCATTCCTGTCTCTCGTCTAAAGTCATTTGACTGTGAGATTAACATTAAAATTAGACTAAAATGACTAGACATGGGGAAGCATAACGTTATACACTGCTCACTCTATAAATATTTGCTGTCATTGCCCCCAGGGTGAAATTACCACTTCACTTCAGTGATCCATGTTCATCCAGCCCTTCCATACACATCACTTTGAAAGGAAAATGAGACCCACATGACTTTTTTTATGTAACTGTTGTGAGATTCGCTGAAGTGATAGGTTTCGTATTTTCTATTTCCCCAATGGAAGTTTCTCTGGGTTCAAATATTTTAAAAAAAGGGGGGTCTGTTACATCTTATGTATTTGTAAAAAGAGTATTCATGAAAGACTTAAGTGATCAAATTTCTAAGCATCTAGAATATTAAGATTTCATATTTTTTTTTCACTTTCTAATTCCTTAAAACTAGGAAAAAGGAAATAAGACCTTAGGTCAACTTGATACATTGCACACGCTATCATCAAATCAGTTAGATTGTGGAAGACAGAACTGTGGGTATTACAAAAGTAAAAATAATCTTAAATATTTTCTTGTGCACATGATTAATTGGCAAAGGAACCTTTAGTCTTTGGCTTTGACTCATATTTTTCTAACTTAATATATTACACATTAATTTTTGCAAGTTGTTACTGTTTAAGATGAGTGAAAATCACTGTCTTTTATAATAAGATACCACCTTTTATAATAATAACTGTCTTTTATTTGCTTTTAAAAAAATTTTTCCAACAGGGGCTGCTAAACTCTATGCCTATTGGATTGTGGTGAACTTCCGAGAGGCATATAATCTCTTTGCAGTTAATGGCATTCTCTTCAATCATGAAAGTCCCAGAAGAGGTCAGTAAATATGTTAATGGACAAGACAATTTCAGACTTTAACAATAACTAAAAAAGTTGTATGTTAACATTCTGCATATGTACTGTATAGACTGGGGAAAACGTCACATCTACTTTTAACTACAGTTGGCCCTTGAGCAACAGGGGTTTGAACTGCACAGGTTCACTTTCACACGGATTTTTTTAGTACAGTACTATAAATGTATTTTCTCTTACGATTTTTTAAAATATTTTCTTTTTTCTAGCTGTTTATTGTAAGCATACAGTATATAATATATACACAAAATATGTGTTGATCAACTGTTATTGGTAAGGCTTCTAGTCAACAGTAGGCTATTAGTAGTTAAATTTGGGGGAGTCAAAGTTATATGCATATTTTCTACTGCATGGAGGGTCACCACTCCTTACCCATCCATAGTGTTCAAGGGTCAGCTATATCATGAATGTCAGAAGTGGTAAACGAAGAAATGTAAATCCAGATTTAATTACTTAGTATGTTTGCTAGGTTTTTTATTCAACATGAAAACTAAATACTGTTCTTATTTTACCATTTTCATTGGTAGGTCTTATCAAGCACGTTTTCAACCTAAGTATTAGGAAGTTTCCAAATGAATGGAAAGGAATAAGTAGTATACTAATGCTTGTTTCCAGAAGTCACTCTTATGCATGTAGACTCAACTTGTAGAATTTATATATTTTTTTTACTTTGAGTCTGTTAGATATTCAGTATTTTTTCTTTATATTCCATTTAAAGAGACATCCAGAAATAACTGTGCTTCTAGAGTAAATATTAAATTTGAAATCAGTGCTTATATTTAGAATCATTATCACTTTTTTTCAGAAAACCATATTTTGTTTGTATTGGCTTGTTTGCTTTTCAGAGTTGCTGTTGAGACTGTTAGCAACATGCTAGCTTTTCTGTTTCAAATATTAGGTTTTAAATAAGAAAATATATTCTTATCATTATTTCTGATTTGCTGAAGCATGAGAAATCTTTACAAAACATGTGTACTCTTCACAAAATGAAAATTATCTGTACAATCTAATTCTAAAATGTTTTATGAAATTTCACTATCATTTAGCCTTTTAGCTGGAGAATCAATAAAAAGTCCAATGTTATAAGTTGTTTCATGTGCAACAACTAGTAATGCTTATAACTTTTTCAATGAAATTTTATGTGACTTTATAGCTACATAATTAACCTACAAGTCATGAGGAAAGAGTAAAGTGACAGATTTATAAAGGTATCTTTAATGTCAATACATTTTTATTTTATAATTGCGTAAGTTAAAAATTCCCATGATACGCTGTTAAAGCATAAGAACCCAGTCTGTCATGCCTGTTGTCCCAAAAGAAAACAACTTTACAAACCGCCAGAGAGATTTCTTTAATTAATTTTGTGGTTCTGGGTGTCCTTAGTAGAGGGAAAAGGAAAAAGGAAGACCTTAGCTCTCCTTGCCCACAGCATTTGGTATGCAGGATGCTCAAGGTACCTGTTCAGTGAATGATAGTCTCTGCCTCTTTCCTCATAAACATGTTTATACCCATTGTTTGGGTTTCTGTGCTTTTCCCCTCTCAACTTCTCTACCTGCAAAACAAAATAAATAAGTAAAAATCAATTGTTTTGGATCAGGTTAGGGTAGGGAAAAGCATTCTTAGTTGCAGAAGGAAAAGATACATTAAAATATGACCTTCCGTCAAAAAAAAAAATCCTCTATTTGCATATGTTGTAATGAGGACTAATTTTTGCCTTTGTCAGTATTTAAACACTTCTTTAAAAAAATTATTTTAAAATTAATACTTCTTTCTTCCCTCTCACTCCCTCTTACTCCCAGCTCTGTCCTCAGGCCCACTAAAACTCCTTCAAAAACACTCCAAGTGTCTTTATCGTAAACATACAGACAGGGTTATTCTATACACAATATTCTACATCGAGGGCTTTTGTTAAATGTTTGTTAAAAAACTTGACCTTGTAGCATACACCATTCTGTTTTGTTTTTATATCTGAAAATCAATATTTAATTTTTTATTTCATTTAATATCAAATAATGAAAAATAATAGTATATGTGGAAATGATGTAATATTTATTTGTTAAGATATCTAATACTTAATACATAGAGCATTTTTTGGAAGTTGGAAATTAATTTTCATATTAACTTAATCCTACCATAATACTATTGTTTTGTCACAGTTATTATTTTCCAAAGAGATTCTCTGCCAGACTGAGAATTCCTTAATGATAGGTCTGTATTATATTTTTGAATCTTCAGCTTATAAAACAATACCTATCTGCTAATAAACATTCAATAAATATTTTTAAATGAGTGAATGAATGTATATCTCATGTTTTAGTAAAACGTTACTGACTTAAAGGTAGGCAGTCTGAATTAGGAGTTATATAAAAGTTTTAAATAAATGTTTTACTGGTTTCATGAATAAGGGTGTAGCTGAAGGCAAACTATTTTGAAGTAAAGATTCACCCTGATATACTTCAATAAATAGATTAAAAAGATTTCAAATTAATAATCTTAGTCTATATACCTATAATTGCTGTGGTACTTTAAGTTCGTTTATTTTCTTAAGTAGGTCGAACATTTATACATCAGTCCTCTTTTGCCCTGTTAACACAGTGAGCAAATACTCTTTTTAGATAGCACAGTGGTAAACCTCAATCTAGTTCTAAGGTATATTATCACAAAAGTCCAATTAGTAGAGCCCAAACTGATGCAGCCTTTTTTGGGATGTGTACTTTTTCTCTAACGAAAAATGTTTGACAAGGCCCCCCTTTTTTTTTTTTTTTTTTTAAAGATTTTATTTCTTTATTTGAGACAGAGAGAATGAGAGACAGGGAGCATGAGAGGGAGGAGGGTCAGAGGGAGAAGCAGACTCCCTGCCGAGCAGGGAGCCCGATGCGGGACTCGATCCCGGGACTCCAGGATCATGACCTGAGCCGAAGGCAGTCGCTTAACCAACTGAGCCACCCAGGCGCCCTGACAAGGCCCCTTTTGACTGCAGGAATAGCATTCCATGAGAATTTCTAACTTTAAAAAGTATGGAAGAAGTATTTTTCAACATAAAGGTATTCTAGACCAGAGGTTGACAAATAGTGGCTCATGGGCCAAATCCAACCCACCATCCTATTTTTGTAAATAAAATTTTATTGGAGCACAGACATATCCATCTGTTTGTATATTGTCTATGGCTGCTTTCACAGTAGAGTCCTGAGGCCTGCAAAGCCTAAAATATTTTCTGTCTGGCCCTTTAAGAAAACATTTGCTAGCCTCACCTATAGAATAATTAGTTCCTCAACATCAAGAAACTTTCAGTTAGGTTTAATATTTCCCCCAAGGTAGCAAGATAGTCTTATGCAAGGGATTTCCAACAAATATTAAAGTCAAGGAGAATCGATAGTTAAGACATCCATAAACAGAATTCCTGAAGTATTTGGGTCCATTGGGGTTCTGTTATGCTCTATTGCAGGACTGAGGTATAGAACCAAATAAACTAGGAACTGACTGAAGATCAGGAGCATGGTTCATTACAGCAACCCTACCTCCTGAGTTTGACATTTTTCATTACATTTTTGACTGTACTATATGCCTTTTCTCTATTCCAAATCCTTTATGGTTTTCTTTTTTTTTTTCTTTATTTATCTGGGAGAGAGAGAGAGCATGTGCGAGCAGGGGAAGGAGCAGAGGAAAAGAGAGAGGGAGAGAGAGAATCTCAAGCAGACTCCCCACTGAACATGGAGCCCGACTTGGGACTCGATCTCATGACCCTGAGATCATGACCTGAGCCAAAACTAAGAGTCGGACGCTCAACCGACTGTGCCACCCACGTTTCCCCTTTATGGTTTTCTTTTTAAGTGTACTTATTTTGCTTTGTTATGAGAAGATTATAATGCCTCTAAAGATACTTGGGATCACCTGTGTTTGGCACAGAATTAACCATTGGAGATTATTGTAGAGAATAAAGCCAGTAATCCAAAGACTTGGGCTCTGTTTCCCATTCAACCATGCAGTCATTCTTTCAATTAAGGCAAGATGGTTGATATGCTCATGCCTTAGGTTTGCTTTTTTATAAAATGGAGGCACTTGAGTAATATTTACTACACATTAATAATGAACAGTAGTTAAAATTCTTGACTTATTTGAATTTCCCTGATGGCTAATGATGTTGAACATTTTTTCATGTGTCGTTAGCCATTTGTATGTCTTCTTTGGAAAAGTATCTGTTCATGTCTTCTGCCCATTTTTTGACTTGATTATTTGTTTTTTGGGTGTTGAGTTTGAGAAGTTCTTTATAGATCTTGGATACCAGCCCTTTGTAGTGTCATTCGCAAATATCTTCTCTCATTCCATGGGTTGCCTCTCTGTTTTGTTGACTGTTTCCTTTGCTGTGTGGAAGCTTTTTATCTTGGTGAAGTCCCAAAAGTTCATTTTCACTTTTGTTTCCCTTGCCTTTGGAGACGTGTTTTGAAAGAAGTTGCTGTGATAGGTATTAAGGAGGGCACATATTGCATGGAGCACTGGGTGTTAAATGCAAACAATGAATTGTGGATCACTACATCATAAACTAATGATGTACTGTATGGTGACTAACATAACATAATAAAAAATTATTTAAAAAATAAGTAAAATAAAATTCTTGACTTATATGTCCATAAAGGGATGAAAATGTATGATATGTATCATGTTCTGTGAATACTATGTATTATATAACAATATTCACCGATATTCCCAAGGTGCTTTTATTCGTAAGCACTCAACTTTTTTAAATAAATGTACTATTTTTTAAATTAAAGTGATAGTTGCTTTATGAATAAGTTGTACAAAATTGCACATGTATCTGAAAAGCTTTTTCCTTTAATATTTCAAGTTTCTTCAAACTTGAAATTTTGTAAGTTTCATTTACGTATCTCTATAGCTATATGTACATAAATACAGTGTTCTGTTTGCCACAAATGTGGCAAATGTGGCTATAGTGACACCTTTCTTTT